CCTCCCCCTTTATCCAAAGCCCCTCTTTCCGTAGTCAGAGTCTAGAGAAGGTGTTCTCCTGACTCAGTCTGCGTCTTACAGAACTACTTTTGTAACCAGTTATCAGTCTCTAATTTCCAGCCTGTTGCTCCAGTGATGATAACCTTTTCCAGGTGATTAATCCCATATGCTTAACTTGAAGTGATGGGCCCCTCTGTTGGTTACGTAGACTTTTTGAAAATTCGCTCAACCTATTTCTGTGATTTCATATCCACAAACGTTCCACTGGGTGAGAACTTTGTATCTTTAATTTTGGCATTGATTTTTGGTCTCTTCATGGCTGTGTATGTAAGAGCTTCACTTGCACTGCCTGCCCTGCGTGGAACTCTTCTCCTGTTGCTGCTGAGTCATTTCCTTTGCTTCAGTCTATCTTTCAGACTTGTTTTTCAGTGCAGCCTATAACTGACATCCTGTTATACTTAGTATGCTATATGAAAATAAAATGTATTGTTCTGTAGGAAAAGAACAATTGTTGGATGCCTGTGTTTTTTCCACCTCTGCTACTTCTGGAATAGCTCTTTGTTCATGTTAAACTGAATTTTTGCTGAAATAAATGTCTTGACTTTTCCCATTGTCATTGTAAATACAAACCTTGTATAATATGGCAACATAGTGGTTGCTGTCTGATTTACTATGTTAAACTAAAATTTAAGTCATTACTCTTATCTTCTAGCTCTTAACCTCTGGTTCCTACATCTGGATTTTAGCCTTAAGTGGATTGGTAAGTCTTACTGCTTTAAAAACCATATGATGCTTAAAACACTCTGTTACATATGCAGTGCAGCATATTTGAACTCAGTAAAGAGCTAGAACTACTGGGTAATGTTTTTCATTGTAACAATAAATAGAAGATTTTTGCCTTTAGTTCCCGGAAGTGTGAAGTGCTGGCTGGTGATAAACTGACACACAGCAAAAGAGTTGGTTAATATTTGCCAGTTGCCAATGCTGTCTGACCCCCTAAAATTATTTTACTGCTATGAAACTAGCTTTAGACTCCCAACTATAAGTAAGAATAAGGAGGAAATGGTAGAAATATCAATTTCAATAGAGTGTGCTTGTATAGTTTATTTACCCTATTGTTTATTTTTATCAGCTTTCAGCAAGCCTCAAGCTTTTATTTCAGAAAGCTGTTTTTATGTGTTTTGTGAAGATTTCATGTTTAGCTATTCTCACAGAATGTTTGTAGCGCAACCGTTTCACACTGTGCTAACAACAGTAAAGGTGCAAAATCACTTTCTTCACCTTCTTCAGATAAAATTGATGCGGCCTGTCTTTTTCCTTTTCAACTATGTTCTTAGCGTTAAGGTATTTGAAATATTGAAACAGATTGTACTGAATCTTCCGTATTATTCCAGATACTGATGAGCTGCTTTTAATTTTTATATGTTTAGAAATTAGGAGCTCTACCTGTTATTTCTTGAACCAGAATTTTCTCTGCTTTTCAAACAGTGAAAGTGCCACCTCTTCCAAGGCAGCTCATTATTAATTTATGCAATCTTATGAAGAACTTACATTGTGTCCTTGCTCTTAGAACCTACTAATTCTAACTTAGATAAACGCAGAGTGAAATGACTATGGACACTATAATTCAGTAGTTCAGTATCTTGCCATTTCCATTGACTGCTCCAAAGTATTGTTTGAGCTGGCAGAATAACTAACAGAAATGACAGAGCAGCAGATAGAGAAGTCTGCTCTTATCGTAAATATAGATGAAAGCAATGTAACGAAGAGACTGGACTTTCTCCATCCTGGAGATTAGCCCAAGCCTCTGAGCCTGACTAAGGATCTGTGACTTCCTCCTCTACCCTTCCTGTTGCTCTTCTCGCTCTTTTAATAGCCCTTCCTTTTGGACAGGTGTTCATTAGAGAGAAAAGGAAAGGCATTTTAACCCCCTCTATCTCCGTGGCAAGAACAGTGTACTTGGTTATGCAGATTTTGAAAGAACGCCTCTGATATTTTTTCATAATATAGCATGCCAGTTTTTATTTTAATTCCCTTTTTAATGTACAGCTTTCTTCAGATGTGTAATGTAACTTTGTTAGGATTCTTTTTCATAAATCATATTTTTAATTACAGGTTTACAGTAAGTTTTAAATAGATATACGTCCACAGGAATAAGTTGAGCTTTCTCTGTGCCACAGTAAGGCTTAAAAGAGATGATTTAAAGTTTTCATATTGTTTCAGTTAGCCCCTAACTAATAGCACGAATTAAGTCATCATCAAAAACTAATATTTTTCAATCTCAAATTTTTCTGCAGCAAGCAGAGATCTGCACTCTTCCGTTATTGTTATAAGTGTTACAATTTGGAAGCAAGTTCTTGCTGTGATTTCTGCCATTTTTCACACAGCATTTCTGTCAGACCTCTGTGAAAAGAATGCATTCTTTTCTTCGCTATTAGAAACAATAGTTTGGAGTCTAGTCTTTTGAGACAGCAGATAAGGGAATAAAGTTTTACAGAGTATTAAAGGATCTGAAGAGAAATATAAACACTGTAAATGCACCTTTCAGCACTGGAAGTGTAGACACTATTATTACGCCTGTATGTGTGCAATTACAGAAATACATTGGTTGTGAAATGCACGTTAGATGATTTGAACAACTGATGGATTTTTGTAACTGTCACTGCTCTTGACGTTATGTAGCGTACTGCGTGTGTGTTGAATCAAATTTACATGCATTTGCCCAAACAGACTTAGTAAATAGGTGAATACCAAGTCAGCTAGGTGTGGTATTTAGTCCTAGTTCACTGCCTACTAGACACTTCACTGTCTATTTTTTTAGCTGAAAATATCACTTAGACATGCATATGACTGCATCCTATGCTGTTCTGCACTTCAGCTTTTGTTGCACTTCTCCTTATCTGGAGTATTAACATGTACTGTGTACGATGTACAGTTGTACTGTGTACCTGCACAGTTTTGGAACTGTCAGTTCATTCTCCTCAGGATGTTCCCAGTTTAGGTTTATTTAAATTCTCACAATTGATACCTTAACATGTAATGAAATCTCTTAGACTAAATGAGAACTGATTTTCGGGTACAAGATGTGGCACTGGAGAGAGATTTTTCTATTCATCCTTGTTAATGCTCTTAAATTTCTGTGTAAATTCCAGTCAGGGTATAAAGCAACTTAGAACTGTACCCTCCTCTTGAGTTCATACTTTCAGTGGTTTTGAGAATAAAAGGAGTTCTAGTGTTCACCTTTGCTATAAGACTTATCTTCCTAGAACAACTAACTTTAAATCAACATAGACGTACGCTCTTAATGGCAACTTCTTTACTCTCCTACATGAAACTGGTGTACCTCTCAATATATCGTTGTGTTGGTATGTCAGGATGGGCGTAGTAATTTCAATTGCTGATATGTTTTGTAAAACATGTGGTATTAACACATGATGTTGAAAGTCATTTACAAAAAAAGGAAGAATATAAGTATACTACAAACAAATTTACAAATCTAATGTAATCATTAATCTGTAATGTTAATCTTCTGATAGTTTATGAGACTAGTTTATTTTCCTGTGATTTGTTTTGGTAGGAATGTACCATACTTGACACGTAGTCCAGATTTGTTTCATATGGTGGGATTTTTTTGATGGCATAAAATTAGGAAGTTTTAGATTAAAGATGGAGTTTTATCATACATTAAGGCAGGTATAGGCTATTTCCATTTGACTTTAAGCCAAAAATTCTTTCAATAACTGTTCACAGAAGTACAGTGTCTTCTGTAATGCATGTTGCTCAGTTTAGTGAAACCCAGAAACAGTTTTCTTACAATTTTTTCTTTAAAACACTCAAAACACCTTAGGTGCACGCAATCATAGCTACAACATACCCCCTTCAGGAAGTAAGCTCAGGTTGGTACCAGCAGACGAAGTGCATCAACTGGGACGTGCAGTTGCCACCACCTATTTGTATAGTGTTAGCATCACACAGATCACGTGCCAAGGTTTCTGTTATCTGCGGTGTTAAGGCTATGTTTCATAGGGGAAGAATGTCTTTCAGGCCCTCTTCCATTTTTGTGATGTTAGTGTTGAAGGTTCTTTTTATCTAGCACTGTTTGTTTGTTTGTTTGTTATATAGAGTTCACTTCAAACCTTAGGAAGTGTAGATGGCTTTAACCTTACAAATGCTGAAGTTTCCAAAACCCTGTTTACTTTGTAGATTCCCTAAGCCAAATAGAACAGCCTTCCAAAGTATGCTGGTGCTACGTAGTAATTTACTTTTCTCAGGTTGTGTGAAAAGTTAGACCTTTATATACTGGAAAACTGTAGTGAGTCTGTATGTAAGCACATAAACTTAGAGGCGTAAGGTTCAGATAGAAATTTCAGATAATGTTCAGTGCTTAGTTTTAACTTCTCTTGTGATTTTTGAGTGCTTTTATTCTTATTTCTGATTATCAATTTGCTGGCTTGGTTTTACATGGACTTACAGATACCAGTTGTTAGTACACAGTGTGCTTTCGATTGTTCTGAGTTCTATTTGCTAAGAGCTTTATTCTTTTTTTCTGTTTGTTATTCATTCAGCTGAGGTGTCTGTCTCTGGAGATATTCGTGTCCATGATAGATTGGCCCTTTTGGAGTAAGATGTGACCAGTCTGGAGAGCAGAATATTTAAACTGAACTTTCGTATTTTTAATTTCTTACCTTAATAGTAAAATTATATAATTAATATCTGACCAGACCCAGTATTCATTAATTTTCTTACTCTTCTTCCTCCTTTTATACATTCTTTTATGTCATTTTAAACAGTCTACATTGAATTCTGTTTGTTGTTTAAAAAAATTTTTGAAGGGATTTCAGATGCATTTTTATTACTCCACAGAGCAGTATTCACACATAAAATATAGTCTCTTCTGCATACCTGAAATTATCATAAAATGCTTGCCAAATTCCTTGAACAGAATCTTTGGCCAGAGTCTGGTAGTGTAGTATACAGTTACCTCCACATTTATATCCTGCCACATATCGTTGTTCATCCTCCAAATATTTCACAATTGGCATTCGAGCTACTGTGCTTTAAATTGACATATCTGATTGGAACTGGAATTGCCATTGGCTGTTCAGCTAAGGCTGAGAGCATATTCTTAGGTGCAGTTGGCCAAAATTTCGCTTGGATGGTCTATGCGATGTCATTGACCACACCATCAAGAAATCCTGCTCGCTACGCAAGTATTGCTCTAGAGATGCACTAGATTCCTCTGCACAGAGCTGTATTTCATTTGCGGGCTGCATGAGCTGGCCTTACTAGCTCAAGTTTAAGCAGCACACTGCAGTGCTTGTTTGGGTCGTGTTTTGCCTCTCAGTGAGGGCCTTATATATACACCCACTGATGCTGTGAAGTGCTGTGGAGGTCTCTGTTCTACAGCGAGGTCATAGTGCACTAATCGCTATGGATTATGCTCTAAAAGCTGCAGCGGAAGTTTTTACTATATAAAGGACATGGATAAAAATTACTGACCAGGATAATATTTGAAGACCTGATATTCAAGTTAATACACCAATACTACCAGGTCCTTTTTTGTTTATATGGATCACCACAGCTTTTTTGGGGGAAAGTTTGTAAAGATGCAGGAAGTCTTACCAACTCTTCTGTGGTTTTTTTGTTGTTTATTTTTCTTGTCAGTGTTTCTTAAAGTCTTATCTTAAGGAGTCAAGAGATCGGGAATGTCAGGTTTCATAGTTGTAAATTAAGCTTTTATGCAGACTACTATTGGAAAGT